TGATGACTGCCAATATTATACTGATGACCAATATAACAACACTTTTAAGACTGAAAATAAAATCTCATTAATCCATATCAATAGTAGAAGCTTGTATGCTAACTTCAGTAAGATCAAGGACTATTTAAATCAATTTACACAGTCGTTTAATATAATTTTGGTATCAGAAACATGGATTAATAATGAAAGGGGCATGGATTTCGAACTTGATGGATATGAGTTGTTGTGTGTGAACAGGAAGAACAAAAATGGTGGTGGTGTAGCTATGTATGTGGATATGAATTATAATTATAAGGTGATAGAAAATATGTCAACTGTGATAGATAATGTGCTTGAATGTATAACAATAGAAATAAGTCGGACAAAAAAGAAAAATATCATTTTAAGCTGTATATATAGAACACCAGGTTCAAATATAGATACTTTTAAAAACTGGATGGAAGATCACTACACAAGTGCAAACAATAAAGTCATGTTTATTGGTGGCGACTTTAATATAGATTTGATAAATCCAAATAAACATAAGTTGACGGATGAATTTATAAATACAATGTATAGTATTGGGTTACATCCCAAGATTACCAGACCCAGCCGAATCACAACTCACTGCGCAACGTTAATTGATAATATATTTTCTAATGAAATGGATAATATTACAGTAAGCGGATTATTAGTAAATGATATCAGTGATCACCTTCCAGTCTTTACAATCTATAATGATGATCAAATTAAAAATAAACAGGGCAAGATAACACTGTACAGAAGGGTGAGGTCTGAAGAAACTATGGATGCATTCAAAAATGAGTTACTAAGACAAGATTGGGAGTTCTTGTATCAAGAAAATGATACTGATAAAGCATACAATGAATTTTTAAGAACATTTAAAATATTATATGATAAAAATTGTCCAATTAAACAATACTACAGAAAACAAAAGTATATGAATGATCAATGGATGTCAAAGGGACTGAAGAATGCTTGCAAAAAGAAAAATACACTATATAGAGAATTTATAAAACATAGAACTAAGGAAGCAGAAGATAAATACAAGAAGTATAGAAATAAGTTAACTAATATTATGAGGAACTGTAAGAAAGATTATTACAAGAAGTTACTGGATGAGAATAAGCACAATATAAAAGGTATATGGGATATTTTAAATAGTATAATTAGAAATAAAACTAGAAATATTAATTATCCACAGTATTTTATAGAAAATGAAAAAAATATAAATAACATAGATGATGCGGTTAACAAGTTTAATGAGTTTTTTGTAAATGTCGGACCAAAACTTGCAAATGAAATTGAAGATCCAGTGACATTCAATGAAGATAATCTAATAGATAGAAATCCAAGCACAATGTTCCTTAAACCTGTGGATGAGAAGGAAATCATAGATATTGTTAGCGAGTGTAAAAGCAAGACATCTACTGATTATGATGAAATAGATATGAAAATAATAAAAAAGGTTATTCATGGGATCTCCAAACCATTAATGTATATTTTTAATTTATCATTACAAACCGGTAAATTTCCCAATAATATGAAAATAGCTAAAGTTATTCCTGTGTACAAAACTGGGGACAAGCATCATTTCACAAATTACAGACCGGTTTCTCTTCTCCCACAGTTTTCAAAAATTCTGGAAAAAGTTGTCAATTACAGGTTAGACAATTTCATAGAAAGACATAATTTACTCTCAGATAATCAATATGGATTCAGAAGAAATCGATCAACATCACAAGCATTAATTGAACTAATAGAAGAAACAACAAATTCCATAGATAGCAAGAAATATTCTGTTGGGGTTTTTATTGATCTAAAAAAAGCATTTGATACTATAAATCATGATATATTAATTAACAAATTAGAGCAATATGGGATCAGGGGACTAGCACTAGAGTGGGTAAGAAGTTATTTAAAAAACAGGAAGCAATTTGTGAAGATGGGAGATCATCAGTCAAGATGTTTGGACATTGTGTGTGGTGTACCACAGGGGTCGGTCTTGGGTCCTAAATTATTCATCATGTACATTAATGACATATGTAAGATATCACAAAAACTCAAATTTATTTTATTTGCGGATGACACAAATATAATAGGATCAGGTGAGAATTTACAGCAACTTTTGGCCACTATCACCTCAGAATTCATTAATATTAAATACTGGCTAAATAAAAATAAACTGTCACTAAATTTGAGTAAAACAAAATATATGATATTTGGTAACAAAAAAATAAATCATCATGCACGGGTACAGATAGGAGGGGTTGATATAGAGAAAGTATATGAAACTAAATTTCTCGGGGTGATAATAAATGACAAGATTTGCTGGAAGTCTCATATTAAATACATCAGCACTAAAATATCTAAAAGCATCTCTGTAATAGCCAAAGTAAGATATTTTTTAGATTACAAATCACTCCATGCTCTGTTCTGTTCTTTGGTCTTACCTCATTTAATTTACTGTATAGAGGTATGGGGAAGCACATATAAAAGTTCACTAGAGCCACTGTTCATATTGCAAAAAAGAGCCATGAGAATAATTCATAAAGTTGGATATCGAGAACACACCAACACACTATTTATAATGTCTAAAATCATGAAGCTTTATGATATGATAGAATTCCAAACAGCACAATTTCTATTTAAAGCTAGAAATAAGCTGTTACCAAGTCACTTGACAAATTTGTTTTATGAGAGAGAGGGGGGGTATGATTTAAGGGAGATAACTAATTTTAAGATTCAAAGATACAGAACTGCAAGGAAAAGATTTTGTATAACAAATAGTGGAGTGAGGCTATGGAACAGACTGAGCATGGATTTGAAGCAATGTCCAAACATCAACCAGTTTAAAAACAAATATAAACAAATGATTTTTACAAGATACAGGGAGGAGGGGGCTTGAGGGGGAATAGAACTTGCTCTGCCACTATGAATTAAAATCGATAAGAAGTCAAGAGAGATGAAATAATAAAAAAAAAAAAAGTGTGAGAGAAAAGGGTTTTTGGTTTATGGATATGTATGGATATACGTGTACGTAGATAGAGATATGTGTATACTGCCTATAGTAATTGGGGTGTGTATTTATATGCATGTATGTGTGTATGTGTTTGAGATATGGGTGTATGTGTAAGTATGCATGTGTGTATATATATGTATAGGTATCTATGAGTATGTGTATGTATATATATATATATATATATATGTATATATGTATGTGTGTGTGTGTCTGTATATATAGATATGTATGTATGCTTAAACATTGGTAGATGTTAATATAGAACAGGGGTAGGATTTAATAAGTTTTATTACTTCTTCCTACTCCTTTTCGAACATGATGGGATGTACATATGTTTTTTTTTCTTTTTCTTCTTTTTTTGTTTTGTTTTGTATGACTTTATTAATTTACTTATATTTGCTTTTTATTAAGTGTTCGAAATAAATGATCAATCAAATATTTCTCCATGGCCCCCTGTTCAGACTGGGATAATTTGTAAAGACGGGCCGATGGCAGCGGAGCCCCTGCTAGAAGATCTATGGAGCAGTCGTAAGGCCGGTGGGGTGGAAGACAGAGGGCCAGATCTTTACTAAAAACCCGATTGAGGTCGTGGTACTCAGAGGGTACCAGGGACAGATCAGGAGGGACCTCAGGACAGACTGGGGCGGCCGAAGAACGAGGAAGAGCTGACTGAAGACATGAAGCCAGACAACTGGAGCTCCAGGTCTCTATTCTGGATTCTCTCCAATTAATATGGGGATTGTGAGCTGACAACCAAGGGTAGCCAAGGACTACAGGTGAGTGTTTGGTGGGAAAAACAAAAAAGGAAATGGATTCATGGTGATTACCAGAAGTTATAAACTGAAAAGGAAGTGTCTGTTGGGTAATAGTTGCTAAAGGACTACCATCTAAAGCTGCAACAGAAATGGGAGACGGTAACGTGCGAACCGGGATCTGAAAACGATTAACCAAAGTGGGATCTATTAAATTCTGCTCAGAGCCCGAGTCCACTAAGGCTGAAACATGGTGGCGAGAGTCCTTAAGGTAAATAACGGCCTTTAACTGAAATCTAGGACTGGGGTCTTCAATACACGCGCCCGCCAGTATCCCCAGAGTTACTGACGGACCTGGTCTTTTGGGCGGAGGGGACATGACAAACGGAAATGACCGGTACCGCCGCAGTAAAGGCAAAGTTGGCCCCTTATGCGCTTATCCCGCTCCTCAGCTGACAGGTGGGCTCTGCCTATCTGCATGGGCTCCTCGGTGGGCTGGCTAAAGATGGGCCGGGCTTGGGAAGGCACGGGAGGAGCTGAGGGGAAAGAACGCTGTGCCGGAGACTGATCGTGACTCCGCCTCTCACGAACCCTCTCCCTGAGTCGCTCGTCTACCCGAATAGCGAGGTCGATTAAATCCTCAAGACTGTCGGGTTTGTCACGGCTTGCTAGCTCGTCCTTTAATTTCTCTGACAGAGCATTGAGGAACACGGCTTTTAAAGCGCGGTAGTCCCAGCCAGCTTGAGCTGCCAAAGTGCGGAAGTCGACTGTAAAGTCGGCGACCGATCGACTTCCCTGTTTGAGCGACCATAATTTCTTAGCCGCCTCCTCCTCCCCCATGGAGGAGGCGAACGTTCTTTTGAAGCGGTCCAGAAATTCGGCATAGCTGTAATCGTAGATTGTTTCCTCATCAATAAAAGCCTCAGCCCATCTTAAGGCTCTGTCTCGGAAAAGACCAATTAAATAGGAGATCTTGTGGGAGTCGTCAGGAAAAGACCGAGGTGAACGACTGAAAACTAGAGAGCATTGTAAAAGGAATCCCCTGGACTTACTCAGATCTCCAGTGAACGGTTCGGGGGCTGGAGTGGAAATCCCCACGTCGGGCGCAGATGACGCTGCGGGGACAACGGGAGCACTGGCTGCAGGCGGAGGAACAGAGGTAGGTGGGTTTACATTCAGCAAGGTCTTCACATCCTGCAGTTCCTGGGTTAGGGAGCTCATAGTCTGCATAACCTGTGTCTGCTGTTGTATCATGGTCTGAATCAGGGCTTCATGCTGGCCTAGCAGTAAACCCTGGTGGGAAATAGCGCTGCGTAATTGCTCTCCAGAGTCAGCTTGGTCAGTTCGTTCTGTCATGTTTAGGTTTTCAGACTCTGAATAGGAGCAATCACGGAGGCAATGATCTGTTAAAGGTTTTATTGAAGGTTTGTGGAAGTACAGAGAGGAGTCCGGCAGGCAGGGTTGTCAGGATACGGCTGGAAGAGGTTAGATTACAGGTGAGCAACCGTTCGGTGCTGGTGGAAGAGTGAGGGATGTATGAGACTCACAGAGAGGACGGCTTGGCGTCTGTTTGGGAGGATGGTGTCCAGTGATCCAGCCTATTGGTGCAGGTCCGGTTGGCGAGATCGGATGGTGGTGTCTGAGGGTGGACTGGCAGGTGCGCTCACGCAGGAGGGCGTCTTAAGGTTCTGAGACCAGAAGCCTCACAGGTTCCTAGAGGCTGACTGAATGGTTCCAGGGCTTGGGATCCTGGGTTCTAGGAGAAGGGAGCAGAGAGGACAGGGTTAGATTCAGGCAAGGCTTAGGTTCAAGGCTTGGTTCAGGATCAGTTGTACCAACGCTGAAGCATTAACGAACTGACGCCCTCCTCCTGGTTCCAGCTCCTTAAAAAGGGTGGAAATCAGCTGATGAGGAGCACCTGCCCATCCAGCCCTGCAGAGAGAGAAAAAAGGAAAAGCAAAACCCCAGCCTGCACCCAGGACTGGGAGTATGACAGAAGTACCATATGACTTGGTGGTTGACCATTTCTAGTGGATAAGTTTGTTTTTCTGCTTTCTACATTTTTCATTGGTACTTTTCCTCTATTGCTTTTTATGTTTTAGAGTTTGCATAATTCATGTCTTTGCATTTTGTAATTTGCTGGATGTTTTCACCCGTTTACCACCATGCAAGTAGTGCACCTTAAGTAACAAAAGAATGACCTCATGACAGTAGGAGACAAAGAGAAGAAAGTTGTTGAATGTCCAGGCTAGAGTGGGGCAGTTAGAAAAGATATGCGGTTATCTAACTACTGTTGTGGGCAAGTGGTGCTCTCATAATCTTTAGTAATTGTAGATACATTGAAACCTTTGCAAGAAACATTGGTTATATCCTATCAAGTTATAATGTTGATTGACTCTCACTACTCTAGAGCTAAACTTGAGCCACTGCAGGGCTGGAGTTTAACCCATGTAACTAATAAATCTGCTTTCAACCTATACCTCAGTTTTAGATCTATTGCCAGCTCTAACAATGTTTTATCTCATTTCATTTCATAACTCTAATCAGCCTCTCTGGTTCTGCTGAAGAAAAGTGAAACCACAAAACGTTCCTCTCAGCGACTTCCACTCCTTGTGTTAAAAAAAAAGTCCTAAAGCGATCCCTTCGGAGCCAAATAACATGTTAAACTGCCCTCTCCCTGAATCAAAACACATGCTAAAGTGCTTTCTGCAGGAGTGAGAACATGCTTCTTTTCTTTACGGCCCTACCCCTTCAAAAAGTCTGTTCACCCCACTGGTTCCTACCCATTACATACTCATACAGCACTAGTTTTTTTCATGTAGCATTTTGGAAATTAATCCAAAATGATCCGGTTTAGACTAATTTGACCAGAAATCTCTAAAAGTTTCCCTTCTAATAAGATTATTTCCTTCATGCATAAAGGCTACATTAATGTCTAAAATAAATAAGAGGTTATGTGCTACTTTGTATTGACATATTGTGTATAATTTCCGACTATATTCTATTAGTAAAATATACGGAAGTGCAGGGTTTTAACTTGATAAAATGTGAAACAGTTTCAGAGGTGTAAATACATTTACAAGGCACTGTATTTGCTAAAAATCCACAAAAATAGATGTTTGCATGCTCTCATCGTGTTCTAAGTTAAATTTTATGCATACAAAAATAGGACTCAAAGGATTTCACAATAACAAGTGTGCTTTAGCTTTAAAAGGGTATAAGAATCAAGACCTCTCCAATACCTTGAAGAAATTGGATATGCTCATAAACAGCTTGCTGTGTGCAGCGTAGCACCTTTGACTTCCTGCCTGTCTAACCTTCAGTCGCTGGACTCTCCCGATCAAACAAGGAAAAGTTGCATGGCTGATGAGGAGAAGCAGAAGGAGGAGGACTAGAAGGAGGTGGCATATGAGGTAGACACTTTGCCCTGCAGGTATAACTTTCGACAGTGGTGGAGACCTGCTGCTTGGTTACAGTGATGAACGACTTTGCCTACCCTCTGATAATTGCTCACTCAGGGGCAGAGAGGGGTCCATTAATCAAAATGAGCTGAGGTACTGCAAGACTCTTCCATCTACAGCAGTTCTTTGCATAGTGCATAGTCCTCACCCTTTCCCTGCCCCCGCCCCCACTACCACCCCCGGAAAGACTCGGAAAGTTTTACTCCAAAGGGAATCAGTCTGGTCAAGGCAGTGTCACTATACTGACAGTCGGCCTCCACCTGGTGGCGAACATCTAATGTACTGAACATAGCCATCATACTTTTAGAAAGTTAGGGATGGTCACCTTTAAGTGGTTGTCAAGTATAATTGCTTTTCACACTAAACTTGAGGCAATTTGCTAAAATAAGATGTCAGATTTTCTTTGTTGAGATGATCACAAAGATATACATTGAGATAAGTACAATGAACTCAAGGGCTTTCAATTGATTTTTTGACCATAAAACATTTTTTTTTTTTGATGGACACAAAGTGTGTCTTTATCTTTTAAAGAAATAAAGAACATAACCTCCAAATAAGGAATTCAATAAGGGATGACAATCTTGAAGAACACAATTCTAGAGTTTGATTGAGGGGAATTTTTATCAACATGCCCTTTTCTCTCTGATATTGTTGTGCTGTAAGAAATAACAATTCCTTAAAGCTATTTTGTCCACAGGTCTGTTCTCATATAACATCTCAAGCAAGACCCAATATGTTGTTGTTACACATTGTGTGAGAAAGGTCATGTAAAGACTTGGGATTGGGATCCATCTCATATGCTTCAGAGGCCACCACAGGGGGAAATAGGCACACATTGTATAATGGCAGCTAGTAAATTTTGAATATCATTCTGAAAAGTGTTGCTACCTCAAGAAAAAGCTACTGTATTTCTGTGAGGTTTGCTGGATTATATTAACATTTGCTGGATTATATTAACGCTGAGAGAGATATTTTTTACGCCATTTAAGACAACACATACGGTTAGAGATAAATATTTACAAAGAGTTTCATAAAAAAAACTAAACCATCTGATTAATTTAAAAAAAAATTGCATATATGGACATTTAATCTTTCATAAATCTATCTAGAGAAAGGAGGGGTGGGTCTTTAATCAGTTTTATGTTGGGGGGGTCCAGCTTTCAGCTTACGTCTTACAGATATACTCATATTTACCTTTGTCAAGTCCTGAAGCAGCAAAAACTTCTCACACCATGACACTTGAAAAGTTCACACTTCTTATGAAGATCTTTTCCTGGAAGGTTGCATTTAGTTTATGCTAAAAAACATGTTATATGTTCTGGTGCCCAAAAGAACACTAAACCACAACTTCTGGTCATTATACACTCTCTCTGGGAAACTTAAACCTAACCTTTGAGCTTCTCTTAGAATTTTTTTTTTTTTTTCTGTGTACACCTACTGTTAAAATCAAATTTAATAATCAGTTTGTTAGATACTGTCCAAGAAAAGAAACAAAGTTTTTTCTCAGAAAACAAGAGTGGCAATCTGTGTGATAGGACAGGACACAAATCATTGCTTTAACCACTGGGCCACCACCAAAATAAAATGCTCTTTGAACTCATAAGTTCAGCTTTGCTCTGCTGGTCACTGTCTTGTTAGAACCGTAGACTGACAAATGGCACCACTGCAGCCTGCATTATTGAAGCATGATTTAGTGGGTTGAGTGTATAATTGAGTTCATCAAGCTGAGAATTATGTGAGCAAAAGTGCTTATTGAACAAATTTCATGATGAGTTGTTTCAATCTTTTTAAATAACATGGTCAAGTTGGGAAAAAAATTACTTAAACTAATTGCCGCAAAACTAAATAAATTATCAGAAAATCTATTTGACAATGTAACGTGTCACTGAATGATTTAATGAGATCCCTTTTCTTGTGCTTCACAATACTGTGCTTTTTTTTTTGTTTCGTTTCACATAACTGTAAAGTCTATATTCTCATCAGAAGTTATTTATCTTTATACTTTGTAAAAACACTCTACAATCATTCCAGTTGTATTTCAATGAATCAAGTCACTGTAAAATGATGGGCTTTTGATGATGCTACTGTATGCTGCACCTATTTAGTAATTCGTGTAAAAGTAGCCCAATGTATTGCATGCATATACTTTAAAGACATGCCCTTAATTCTTATTAGGATGGACATTTAGCCCCATGCACACACACATATCCACACACGCTGTCCCCCACTCTGTATTTCACACTGCACTTACACCTCTGCCATCTTTCTGGTCTTTTGTGCTAAGCTCAAGTATTTCTTTAAAAGAAAATGTGTTTCCCCCCTTACACTGATTAGTGAATGCTATATTTTAAAATCACAGCGATAAACGCCTTGTTTCTTACCTGGCTCTGAATGGCCATCATTCTCCTGCAATTCTGTTCCTGGACCTGTTCCTGAATCCTCCTCTTTTTTTTTATTCTTATTTACTCATAAAATCCCTCAAGCCTTTGGTGTCATCTTCCCTTTTTTTCTGTGCGGCAGACCTCTGAAAACCTGACATTCTTAGTTTGCAGCGAAACAATCTTTAAAAGTTGCAGCTCACTGTTTTCTTAGTCAAACCATTTTATGTTGGCGTTTGGGGAGTTCTAATGGCCCCTTATTTAAAGAAAACATATTACATACAGTATGTCTAATGCAGATCGTTAAAACGTGACGTGGCCAATAGGCATAGACATGGTTTGAAAAACAACGGGTTGTTCTCATCAACAATCTTCTGACGTCTCATTCATTCGGGCCAGACTAAATTACACATTTAATCTCACATTTATTCTGGTTTATCAGGCTAATAACTACTCTCTGCAAAACCAAATATTTTTTGGGGGGTATGATGTAGTGTTTAACCCCCAACGGTAACAAACCCAATACAAATATTCTTTCAAACCAGGTGCATTAATGAAAATTAGACTTTTTTGGTATAACTGTCTACATATATGTGTTTGTAGCAGCATTGAGGAACGTCTGGTTAAACATTGGAAGCTCTGGCCTAAACAGGCTTTGGAAATCAGGTGAATAGTAGAATCAAGTGACAAAACACTAACTACCAGTTGTAATAAAAATGCCCCTTCCACCCTCCAAAAAAACAAAGCAATATTTGTCTTACGCTCACTTGAAAGCAGCTAAGCGTATGGCCGTCTCTCAGCTTCTAATTGTGATATGTGCCTAAGCCTAATGTTTATTCGGGTATTTAGATGTATGGTGTTTATACGGCTTTCTTTTTTTTAGATTAGGTGGTGCTGTATAAAGGATTTTTTAATTTGTTTTCTGTTTTTAGTTTGCATTGTTAAAATGAATATTTTATATTACCGAGGTCATGAATACAATGTGAGAGTGTCATACTGCATACCTGATGAAGGTTTATGACTTTCTATGAGTAATTTGATGATAAAAATATTGTAAAGACAAGTCTAATGGTCCAATTAGGCTGAGTAGTGCAGCTCTAAAATACGTTATGCAATAGATCCTATTTGGGGCATAGAATGTTATGAAACGCAA